CTGAAGTCAAGAGTCAGACACTTAACCGACTCAGCCACCCAGGCACCCATGGCTACTTTTTAAATAAAGAGCAGAGGTGAGGGGGCCGTGGGTAGAATCACTTACAATAAGCTTATAATGTAGATACTAATGTCCCCATTTCCCAGATGAGGAAATTGAGGTTGAAAGACATGTACTGCCCCAAAGTCACACACCTAACAAACAAAGGAAGGAGCTGGAATGCCCAGGGGCTTGCTCCTGCCTTCTCCCACCTCCCTTCCTATCAGCCACAACCCAGCAGCTTAGGGACACTGCTGCCTTGACATTCTAGACAGCACATTCTCCTCTGTTCTTACTGTGCTAGGACAAAGTAACCGTGAGAATTGGCATTTGATTCCTTTTTTCAGAGGAAGCCGCCAATGATCAGAAGTAACTTTCCCAAGGCCAACAGCCTTCTCCTTCTATAAGAATGTCCCTTCCCTTCCTCCACCCTCCTCCACCCTGGGCTTGAACCTGGTAGAACCAGGTGGTTGCAGTTCCCAGCCTACAGCAGGGGTGGGGACTGGGAGGTCAGAGCACCAGCACTGGGCCCGTGTGTGAGGACACTAAGGGAACAGGAATTTTCCCTTCTCAGACCTGCTTCCCACTGAGGACTGTAGAAGTGGGATCAACATAGACCCATCCTGGGGCCTGCATGCTCCATTTGCCCTAACTTCAGAGAACAGGATAAAGCCCCAGAGGACAAGAGGCACCTCCAGCCTGTGCCCTAGCCAACACCGGAGGGCCTAGGTGGGGAGATGGGTGCACCGTGTACTACCCAGGAAGGTTATCAGCCTTAATGTCACATGCATTGCTGCTCCCTCCCTAGTGTCTCAGAGCCAGCTGTCTACTGACAGGCTCCTCTGCATTTGGTGTGTGTATGTGTGTGTGTGTGTGTGTGTGTGTGTGTGTGTGTGTATGTGTGTGTGTGTAAAATGCAGGGAAGCCTGAAGAACCCCCAACACACACACAGATACACACACACTTTGAACTACGAGATGCAGCTCCAGCCTGAGAGACAGCAGGACTGGTTCAAGAATACAGTGACCTCACCCAAGACGAGGTGGTTGTTCCCCAGTAGTGCTCCATGTTTACAGTTTTCCAAGTGCCCTCCCCCCTTCACTTGATCCTCACACCTACACTGTGAGGCAAGGGTCACTGTCTACATCCCACAGGCCTGAGACTGATCTTTACTGGCCCTTTCTGCCTGGGCTGTATCCTTCAGAGCTGGAGCTGGGTTAACCTCTTTAGGAGGAGGAGTGTTCTTGCTCTGTAAACCCCATCCCCTGGTTGAACAAAGGGTTTCAGCCAACTGTATGCAAGGTCTTGCACCGAACTGCTGCCCTCTCTCCATGGCGTTTTCCCCGATCCCTCTGCTTCAAGACTCAGATTATTCAGTAACCCACCAGGCAGCCTCTCTGGCGTGCAATGCATGCAATAAAGAAGCATTTACTGAGCACTTTTTGAAACCCAGTACAAAAGTGAATGTGATTCAAAGAAGTTCACAGTCTGGGGAGGGGAGTTGGCAGGCTGACATGTAAGCAAATGATGACATCAGCGTGATGAAAAGGACGCTGGGAGAGCTAATTCTTCCTGGCCCGGGAACAAGTGCTATTCTGCTGCCCTTCCAAGAGTTTGGCCAATGCAGGAGAAAGAAACAGCAAGTGTAAAGGGCTGGAAGGAGGAAAGAACATGGTGCATCCAGAGAATAGAAAGAAGTTCTCTGTGACTAGACCAGAATTTGGGGCGAGGAGAGAGAAGAGGCACATTGGGAGAGTAGGTGGGTTGAGTCTGAAGGGACTTGTTACTCATGTAAGAAGCCTGGACTCTTCAGTAGGGTTAATGTGTGTGTGTGTGTGTGTGTGTGTGTGTGTGTGTGTGGTGCATTTAATGTACATAGTGACTTATGACTGTATATAGATACATATGAAAATACACACACTAGTATCAGGTAAAACAGTTGTGTTTAGATGCTGGAGTACTAACAAATATAAGAGGAAAAAGATGTTGAAGAGATCCTGTTTACCATCATTTACATGAAGTGTTGATGTATATATATTATATATTAGTAATTATTATGTAGCATGAGGAATTTTACTCCTGTTCTTCAATGTGTCCTATTAAGTTTGGTTTATTTGATGACACACGGAATTCTTTTCCTGAAGTTGTCTTGCTTCTGTTTTTTTTTTCTTTTCCTTTCTTTTTACTGTGTTAATGATCGCCTGTCCCTAACCTTAAAAAAGCAGAAGGAACTTTGTCCTTAAATGTTTCCTTTCACTAAGTCTCAAGAGAGTTCTTGGAAAGATACTGGCACGGCATGAAGTACACACCTCAGCTGTTCATTTGGTTTGTGAATTGCAGATTCTGGGCCAGAGTCAGTGAAATTTCTTTTTTTTTTTTTCCCTTGTAGTATCTCAACTTCACGCAGCCAACTCTATGTACCCAATATCAGTTCAATTTAGTGACATCCGCTAAAGTTTTATCTAGAGTTTTCCCTCTGGATTTCCCCTTTATTGGAGAAAACCAACGGGACTCAGAGGAGTCCTGGGACTACGCTTCCCAGCGGCCTCCGCCGGGCTGCTACTCCAACTTCCCTTGCTGGGGCGGCCCCTAGCATCTGGGCCTTGCCCACTGGCATCGTATTTAGAACTACAACTCCCAGATGCCTCCAAGCACCGGACTTTTCAAAGAGGGCTTCCCAGCAGCCTCCCGGGTGAAGAGCCCCGCCTCCCAAGGCTCTACAGGCGCCTTCCACCCGCCTCAGCCATGTCACGTGACGCACACCCGCCAACCGACGCACGGAGGAGGGCGGCGGGCGGTGGCCAGGGGCGGAGAGGCCGCAGGGGGCGGGCCCTGGAGGGGGCGGAGCGGGGCCCGGGAGCGAAGCAGCCTGGCAACGGCGGTGGCGCCCGGAGCCCGAGGTGGGTGAGCGCTCGCTTCTGGCTTGGCTCCGAGCCGGGTGCTGCGGGACCTGGGGGGGAGGGGGGCGGGAGGAGGAAGTTGGGACTCCCTGGGCCGACGGGTCCCGCGTATCCTCGCAGCACCCGCGGGCGTAGGTGGCGGGGGGGGGGGGGGG